GATATTGAATTGATAAGACTCATAACGACGGGGTTTAACGATCGATTCAATATAATATCATAAACAAAAAAAAAATTAATTTGGCTTAGATAATAAACTTGGAATTTGACTTAGAAATAAATTGGCAAAAAATAGAAATTTATAGGATTAGACTAAACATGGTAGATTTTCTTGAAAAGGATGTTTTTAGATGATTCATATCTTTTCAAAAAAATAACTAACTTTTATTCTAAAATCTCTAAACCAAGTGCTATTTTTAGGGTTTTTAGTTCATTTAATATCGAGTAGCGACTCTAAAATATGGTTTAACTTAAATCATCGGTAAATAATTAAAAATAAAATAAAATAATCAATTTTCATAATAGTTTTTTAGGAGTTTTCTAAATGTTGAGTAGGACCAGCAAGATGACTTCAGTAGGGATTTAGAGTTAGGCCATAAGTTTAGTCCTCTTTTAACTTATCTCCAATTTTATTTTTGCCATTTATTTTTAAGTCATTTATTTTCCAAGTTCTTTGTTCAATTCCAAGTTATTTATTTTATGAAATTTATTATTTTATGTCTTAATTCTTGTGTATATTTATTTCAAGACATTTATTTTTTGTAATTTATTTTCTTGTCATTTTAATTTATGTACATATTTATTGTGAGTCTGGATTGGATATATTTGGTTTGAATTGTTGCACACACCATAAGAAAAGCTTACGAGCAGCTCTAAACTCGAGCTAAAAACTCTTTTGGATTTAGATAGAGGGATTTAGAGGCAAGTATGATGAAATTCTATTAATGTTCATCTAAACTCTCATTTGAACTCGAAACGCACCTTATGCATAAAAAATTATGAAATGGCATTCTCATACCTTCCGGTGCATAAGGTTAGAGGTGGAATTACTCTACCGATAATTTAGACAATTTGAAAACTTGAAAAGACTTTAGGATTATATAAGTCTTGCCTAAAACTTGGAAAATCTAGATCCTATCCACTAGGATTGTCCATTTAAGATATGAAGTATCTTTAAATGATGTCAATTTTAACCCTTATTTCTACATGTCATTTTCTAAACAAAGCATGTTAGAGAATGACATTGAAGATTTTAGGACTAGATCAAAGTGAGTCTAGTTTAAGAAAGGGAACTACCCTTAAATTTTATATCAACGCAACTAAAGGAGATGGGAATTTCAAGCAATGAGTACACAACCGAAGAGAACCTCATAGTCATTGTTACCTCATCACCTAGTCTAAAGCTATAGAGAATAGAATTGGAATCTATTATGTAATAAAAAATATCATGAGTATTATAACATGATTTAAGTGATTGTAATGTTTGTTTTTTAGTGATCATTGTGATATAAATCGGACGGTTATACCATCTTTTTCCTTCAATGAAAAATGACTTTAAGTCACATCTAGAATGTACTAAAAGTTCAAAATTCAAATTCTTCCATGTATGAAGTCACAAGATGCGTTCATCACTTAGAGTTTCAACCAAAAAGTGACAAAAAGTAGGGTAGCCATGTTTCTCGAATAGCCTAAAGTATCCGTGGAGTTGTATCCTTAGCGAGTAAAAAAAAAAAAAATCTAATATGGCCCGTCCTCGGTACAAACTCTATCAAGATTTAAAGTTTCATAATGAAAAAGTAATGTATCCAACTCGGTTCATATCTTTGCACATCATGCATTTTTATGTATATATTCATTATATATATATTACTTTGTGAAAATAAACAAGTCTAAGGAAATATAGGCTATACTTAATGAAAGCTTAACTCACTCCAACACTAACAACTCAGCCAATATGGAAAACCAAAATGAAATTCAAGAGAAGCAAAGCATCCAACAACAAGTGATTTTTTTGAGAAATGAAGTGTCATGCTTAAGTGATTTGCTTGAGAAGGCTCTTTAATTTAAACTACTAGAAGGTGAAGCTTCGGTGGTAAAGGATCCGTTCTTTCCTCCCATAGTGCCAGTCCCTCTACTAAGTTCTCTCGTATCTTTATACTACTTCTATGATGGCGATTGATTCTGAAGGACCTCATCTAGTTGCTTCATCAAGCCATGTGGCATCATCCATTATAAAAAATTCTCCACTCTTACGTGCTTCTTCTCGGCATGTAACCTTTTCTCCAAACCACTTGGCATAAATATAGATCTCTACGGGCCTATCCCGGGATAAAAAAGAAGTCAAGAAAGGAAAAGAGGTTAAGATATATGATTTAACTCGGTTTCTTGATAATGGAAAAAAGTTAAAAATAGAAGAAGATGGACGTAACCCAAGCCTCAACGACTAGTTATGATAGGAAACCATTCTAAATCAACTAACTCGGGTGACAAAAAAAAATTTCAATCTCAATGATGAAGCTTTTGTAAGTAAGGCTAATCTTGTGGTATGAAAAAAAGGAAACAATGAATTTATATAGAGATGTTTCAAAAGATGACAACCATTGGCCTTATGAGCATGTCCACCATTGACTCGGTTAAAACAGAGTTGACATCTTCATTAGCAATTTGGGAACCTCAAACTATAAATATCTAAGTGGTAGCTTTTCGTGTCACTTTAGTGATCTCGTGAATGTGGCAAGGGAAACAAGTGTGATATAATTTTGGAAAAAGCTAAGGCTTCGAAGACACTCCTAGTGAGAGAGGATTTTATTATGATATTTTCTAGATGAATCCCAATCTCCATGTTAATTATTCGAAAGCTTATGAACGGACCTCTAAAAAACAATGGAAACCTTTTTCTCTTTTCCTTGTGTCTCTAATGTGAAATCAAACAGTCTTCAAAAACCCATAAATGCCACATAACACGTACCACCAAAATAACTAAGATTACAAAAGGAGTTTGAACTCGTTACCACCCTTATCTTTCTCGTTGGGCAAAATGGTTAAGCGCCTAAAAGAATTTGAAATTAAATCTAGAGTTACATGAATTCTAGGTGAAGAAACTAATCTCCTATCAAAATTCCTAAATTCTATCTAGCCTCTCTTTTCAATTTGTGAAGTATTCTTTCAAATTCAAGATCAAATTTTAGTTCACCAGAGTGAGAGGATCGAGTCAATAATCATAAACAAACCAAATATGAAAAAAAAACATGAAAAGAAAAAAAGAATTGAAAACACTAAAATGCCTAAAACCCCTTGTAAATGATAGAATTTGGCCTTGAGAGGATTGGGCCATTAGCAAAGCCACTGGTTCTGTGCAAAATGTCGTTTCCTTCATAAAAAAGCTATTTCTTTTTAATAAGTTAGGTTGAGTTTGTCACATAAGGATGTGTATTTTCATTAATTTAGATGAAAATATATTACATAAAAATAGATTGAAGGAAAAACTATATAGTTAAGGACAAATCAAGAGTAATAAGACTTTTAGAAACAAATTAAAGACTAACCATAAAATATGAATACAAATTAAGTTAATTCTCCATATATATATATATATATATATATATATATATATATATATTCAAATTTAGAAATGATTGATTGAAAGATGAACCTTAGAATGGTTTTGGCTTTAGTTTGATTCTGACATCTAAAGTAAAATTGTATCAATTAAAGAAAAATGATACATACTCGCGGGTGCGTATTAAATTTGATATTCATTTTAACATTATAAATCAGGTTTAAATAATTTATTGGATGATTCAATGTCATGAAAAATTAATTTAAATATATATATATAAAAAGATTCATTTGTCCATAAAAATTGTAAATGGAAATAACAATCAATAGCACAATTCTAATCCAAATTTTTAATAATAATAATGTTCATTTGTAAGATCATTATATAAAATTATCTTTTATGTAGCAAACATTCTCCTTTTCTTTTGATAATTTTGACCAAAATTCTTCAAGGGTGAAGACAGAAAGGTTTTTAAGCTATATACAATAGCTGATTATGTATTTCTTTGATATTTGTGGACATTACAAGATGTAGTGTTGAATATGACCATTGGTTACAAAATATCACTCTAAAATTGATTTTTTATATATATAATTATGTATGATATTATCACAAATTATGATAATCAATTGAGTTGAAATTTGACATGGCAAGATAAATAAATATTTGATTGTATTAAATGGTTAGTTAAGTAAAAAATGAAATAGATAGAAAAAAGTTATGTACGTATGTAATAATTTTCGTAACTTATAGTAAATAAAATTTTTAAATATATAGCAATTTCAAAATTGTGGATCAAACATTTCTCAACCTTTCCTTAGCTTTCTTTAGATTTGAAGTTTGCGACGTATAACTATTTGAAAGAACGTCAATATAGAAAATCAAAAGTGAACGAAAATATAGAACTTTTTTTTTATTATTTAAAGTAAAGAAACTCTAAATCTAGATTTAATACCATATTTTTTCGTATTTTTTAAATGTAAATATTTTTATGTTTTTAAAATATTTTATTATTATTTTTATATGAAAATATTTTTATATTTTTAAAATATTTTATTTATTAAAAATAATATTAATTTCAAATTGAATTATTTTCTCATTAGGTCAACATACATTCATATTTGATCTATTTAATACAATAATTAACAAAAAAAATATTTTTTTTTGAATTTGCAGAATTTACAGTCAAGATTGCATTGAAAATTTAATTCATACATCTCAAGTAATTTAAAACAAAAAGTGCATATTTATTTGAATTTACAGTCAAGTTCGTGTTAAAAAATTAATTAATCTATGTCAAGTAATTTAAAACAAAAATTTAAAAGGGAAGGAAATATTTAGAAAGTTTTCAAACATTAAAAAATTCTATAACAGAAAAAAAAAAAAGTAAAAAGCAAAAATGACAGTAATACTGATACAGGTGGGCATGCATATAAGTACCAAAAATCTAAACGGCCTGCACCAAAAAGGCTGACTCCAATTATGAACAAATATTAATTACTAAGCACAAAACAATACTTTGAAAAGATTTAAGGCCCAACTAGAAAACATGAAGGTAGCTAAAATTATGAAATCGTAGTTCAGTAATCAGATATTAAAACTCAACACAATGTTTAAGGGTGCCGCAAAGACGCACACAGAGAAGGCAACACAAAGCCAACCAAGAGCCTTTACACGAACTGAACCACCAACTAGAAAATGTGTTAGGAGAAGGAGCAGAGAGGACAAAGCCATGTTCATATAAACAAGTAGTTTGATAGTTGAGACCTGCATCCCAAAAATTCAATTCATATTGTAATTAATTTGGATTATTGTAAGCTGAATCTTGAATCTTGAATCTTGAATAAAGCAATGGTAGTTATAATCGATAAACAAAATAGCCAAGGACATTGCCTACAGCCATAAAGAAAGAGTAGAAAGCATTGGCTGTCCGTGTCTTCTTCTGATTATTCCCTGAAAGGTCAGCTGAAATGCCCTACACGGACCTTGAAGCATGTTATTAGCGACGAGTTATAATAAGTTTGCATTTTAACGATAAAGACTGGAAAACATTTTCTTAAATATAGCTTATAGACTAAGCCTCGCTGGTAGGTAAAAGTTAAAAAATAAATATCTCCTGATATGATTTCCGAATATCAATACTTTTTCTTTACTTTATAATTTATTAATTTATTTTGATTTTTTTTTTAACATTGAAGAATCTAATTACATAAATTTTAAAAATTAAAGATCAAAATATTTTTTTCAAAAACTTTGAAAACCAAAAAAACTATAAAGAAATGACCAAATGAAAAAAATTTTAAGGATCAAAAAACTTTTTTTTGAAAATTACAAGGATTGAAATGAAATATTTTTGACAAATTATTTTTAGTCGGTAAACTAATATGGGCTGTGTATGGGTTGAATAAAAATTTATATGATGATTTTTTAATGAATAATAGATAGAATATTCTTTTTATTAGTAAGGTAAAAAATTAAATTAATATATCGAGTACTTGTCTATTGTCATCCCTACTCGCAAGTTATAGAAATCATAAATCCATGAAAAAAGCGTATACCAATCTAGAAAAGATGGTAAATTAGTTTAATTTGTACTTCTATTTTCAGTTTTTTTTTTTTTTTTTTTCAATATGTTCTTATCTGTTTAGTTGCTTTCAATCTATATTTATATTTTAGGTCATTCTTTAATCCATCATTCTAATTAATATTTTCATACAAATTGACATAAACATCTCGCTTGAAAACTCAAACCTCTCCTAATTTATTGAAAAATAAATTGTAATATTGTGTTAAAATTCTTTTTTTTTTTCCAGCTATTTCTTTTTAATAAGTTAGGTTAAGTTTGAATTTCTCACATGAGGGTATTTTCATCAATTTAGATGAAAATATCGTAAATAAAGATAGATCGGAGAAAAAACTATATATTCAAGAACAAATCCAGAGTTATAAGACTTGTAGAAACAAATTAAAAACTAAACATAAAAATATAAATACAAATTAAGCTAATTCTCCTTGAAAGAAAACAAATACCTACATGTAGTCAAATTTAGAAATGATTGATTGAAAGATGAACCTTAGAATGGTTTTGTCTTTGGTTTGATTCCAATAACTAAAGTAAAATATCAATTAAAAAAATGAATGATGCATCACACGTATGCGTATTGAATTTAATATTCATTTTACCTATATAAATTAGGTTTGGATATTTTATTGGAGGATTCAATTTCATGAAAAATTAATTTAAACATATAAACAAAGCTTCATTAATTTTTACATAAAATTGTAAATGAAAATAACAATCAATAGCACCATTCTAATTACCCACTCTCACGACCTTGTTACAGAATAGTGTTAGTCCTTAGCAAAGTGCTCTTCAAAATTGAATTTTTTATTTGATATAATTGTGTATGATATCATCACAATTTATGATATTCAATTAATTTGAATCTAATTTGACATGATAAGATATATAAATATCTAATTGTATTAAATAATTAGTTAGATGAAAATCGAAATAGAAATAAAAAGTTATGCATGTAATTATGGTAATAATTTACGTAACTTATAGTAAATGAATTTTTTAAATATATAGCAATTCAAGAACTGTAAATCAAACATTTATCAACCTTTCATAGGATTTGAGGAAAGTTGTTACACAAAACTATTTGAAAAAATAGCCGGAAAAATAAAAAGAGAACAAAAAATATAGAAGTTTTCTTAATTTTTTTTTCATTTATAGTAAATAAACTCCAAATATAAATTTAATCCTAAATTTTTTCTTAGTTTTTATATGTATATATTTTTATGTTTTTAAAATATTTTATTTATAAGAAATAATGTTAATATTAATTTTGAATCAGATTATTATTGAACCGAATCGAGATAAATCCATGTTTGATTTATTTAATAAATAAATTAATGAATTCAAATCATAATTGAATTCAGACCATATAAATTATATACCAAATCCTTTTATTTATCTCGAAATTGGGTCGAATTTAAATCAAAATATGATCTATTGACAGCTCTAATTATCCCCATAGCAAAAACCACCTTATTATATAAAAGAATAAATTTTGTACTAGCTTGTATGTACATGAGAACTATTTTTTAGCGCTAAAAACAATACGAACAACTTGGGAAATGAAAATTTCAAAAATAAAAATTATAATTCACAACGTACCTTTAAATTCTCAAAATTCTCATTTCAATGATTTTGAAATTAATGAGATGGAAAAAAAAAGATGTAATTTTTAAAACAACATCACTATGATTGTCATTTCCATCTTTTGGCAGAGGAGACGTCCAAAGTTCAAATTTGAGATCTAATACACACCATTTAATGGAGAATGTTCTCCTCCAACTGTTAACACTGCAAAATAATAATAATAAATAAATAAATAAACCATCGATATATTGTACTTTTTTTTTTTTTTTTGGTTTACAGTCAACCAAAGTTTTAGATTTCAATTTTTTTCATACTATTATTGATCTTAAGAGTGCACAAATTTGGTTGGTTGGTTTATGTGATAGCACATTAAATGAGATGATTAGTCGTTATTAGGATAATGTAAAAGATCTTTTTGAAATGTATATTATGAAAAATTAATAGTGATTTTGATTAAACAGATTATTAAGAGGGCTTATCCTATCCTTTATTACTGTGTTTGTTTCAATTATGATCAATAGCTAAATGCCATTAAATTACTTCATTAATTGAATATGATAATGGACAAATAATTTTTAAAATTGAATAAAATTAAACATCATACCAGATGTATGATATCACGAGATTTGTACATCACAAAATAATAATAATAATAATAATCTCACCTAAGTCTTAAACTACTCATATGCTAATCACATGATTAGTTAGTTTCTTTTTCTATTTATTTAATTATGAGATGTAAACTTTTTATTCAAAATTTTAAATCCTAATTTTTTTGCTAATAATTAAAAATCCTTCAAAACTTGATCAAATCAAAATACAATATTAAAATAATCTTTTTATATTTTATGGGTCTTTGAACTATACAATTTAATATAAATATATCATGCATCTAGCATATAGATCCAATTTTAATCTCAAATCATTCTAGGTAACAAAGGATTTAGATGTCAGTTAATTCTGTAAAAATTTCATTTATTTATTTATTTATTTTACTGCTCCTGCGCCTTATCACACCACTGTTGTTGTCCTACTTACTGGAATCTAGATTTGATCATCTAAAAAGTATGAAATGCCTTCACTCTAAACATTGATCTTCATTAAGTTCCTCATAAATAATCAAAGCTAAAATTAAGCTCAAATTAAACGAGAGAAAAATAAGAAAAGGTAATCCTATAAAAGATGAAAAAATGGAGCTTTTTAAAATGTTTTGTTGTAATATTGAAACTTTTACATAAGAGGAGAAAGAGTGTTGAAAAAAAAAATTCGCATTTAGGTTGAAATATTCTTATTATTTTTTTGTGAATCCAAACGTTTTTTTTTAATCTCTTTCGTCAAAATTAAGTATATATGTAAAATAATTCCTTAAATATTTTAAAATTTCTCGCTCAGGTAAAGGTGGAAAATTATACCATATATAGGCACAAAAAATGAAATTCACCACATATTTTAATTCTACTCATCATGTGATTTAAAAATCGCATTTAGGTAGAAATATTCTTATTATTTTTTGTGAATTCAAATGTTTTTTTTTTAAATCTCTTTCGTCAAAATTAAGTATCTATGTAAAATAATTTTTTAAATATTTTAAAATTTCTCGCACAAGTAAAGGTGGAAAATTATACGATATATAGACACAAAAAATGAAATTCACCACATATTTTAATTCTACTCATCATGTGATCTAAAACATACCAACGTATATCGAAATTATTAAGATATGACACTTTCAAATTACAGTTTTGTTTTCCTTCCTCGATCAATGACTTGAAATAGCTATTACGTAGAAAGAAACAATGTTACTAAATTTAGTTTTCATCACAAAAAACAAAAAAAAAAAAAAAAAAAAAAAAAAAAAGAGTAACCATGATTTGAAACCACTCTGACAATCACCCCTAATTAGACATCCTCAGCAAACATAATTTGACCTTCTACCTCTTTAATCCTAATCCTATCTTCCTCTTTTTCAATTTTCAGATAGCTAATTAATGGGATTTTGGTTCAATAGTAGGGGCGTATTAGCATCGATCATTTGTTTGAAACTGAGTTTTGTTTACTTCTCTGTAAGAGATTATCAAGTTAATCTATGATGTTCTTTGTTTAGATGGTGAGATTAATCCTATCCCGACCATTATAAAGGAAGACTTGTTAGAAAATTTGGGCAGTTAGAAATTTATCACGCCATATGGCAGCGAGCAGAGAAAGTAATTTACATTGCAAGGTTGGGCATATGTATCACTAACTTCCATAATACACCGAAAGATGAAAAAAAAAGTGACATTTGTTAAAGAGAAGAAGAGAAAGGTCCATAAGAGACCACGTGGCTTTGAAAAAAATGTGGGCCGGTGGTGATGGTGCTCTTGGGGGTTTCGGACCGCCCTAGTTGACTTGGCGAGCAATGATTGGCACCTAGGATGACGGTAGTTACCACAACTGAATTTGTTTGACTCACTTATGCCTGCCACGAGTAACTGGTTGGATTATGGCATGATGATGAAAATAAAAGGCCGACCTTTCAAATCAAATTTAATAAATACATCAAATAAAAACATCTCTATTATCTAAATTTAATAAGTACAATAAATAAAAAATATCTATTATATCTACGGTTCATTGAACACAAAAAAATAAAAATAATTTTTAATTATTATTATTCTAATCATCATATGAATTTTTTTTTTTTTTGAATCGATTCCGATTTATATTCACTCTCATTTTTTTCGTTAACTTCAGATCCTTCTATATATTAATCAACGACTACTCCTCATCATCAACCTGGATGACATTATAATGGAGTACCTTAGGTTCAACAAAAATTTGTTTGCCTTCCTCATAATTATTCGAAACTAAATTTCTCTTTGACCCATTTTCTACGATAGATCCAATCATAATAGCCACACATAAAACTATTTTCACTAAATAGTATTTAACTATTTGAACCTCTTCAAATCTATGATTCCGAGACTTACGACGATTACAAGAATATCTTATTTTTCTTCCATCCATACATTCAAGATGCTTAATAGCAAATGTAGCAAATTACTCAACTCTATTTACAAAACCCGCATTTAAAATCCTATTGGTTAGCCTAAAGTCCATTAACGTATGATTGGACCTCATATTTTCCTTTTGCATATCCTAGTCAACAAACAATTACTTCATTATCAATTATGCTCAAAATCTAACAAAATTTTGACAGAATCTCCTTTACAAATTAGACGTTTCCTAATTCAAAGAAACTCCATCTACATAAAAACAATTATATATCTAAAAAATACAACGCTACACATGCAAATATTTTCAATTAATCATCGTCATATAAACATTAATAAAAAATTCACATTTAAGCAATCAAATAAATCAATTTACACACAAGAGGATGAAACTTGCCTCGAATAATCCATTAAATTAAATACCAAACTCATCCTTCTAGTTCCATTATAGAGCATTGAACCGACTTTCTTTCTCCTCAATTCTCGAGGGTCTTCGACCCTCGGATTTGATACGCTACGGCGTATCTCATCATACTTCAACAATCATCATGTAAAATAAATGCACTACCAATTGTAATTACTAACTAAAAATTGGTCTAAGAAATAAATAATAAATTGGGATTTAGATATCTTACCTTGTGAGTGAAAGTGGCCAAAAAATTACTAGAGTGGTTGGAGTGATTATCGAAAGTGCTATGGACTAGTTGCAATAATTTTGTATATAAAAAATTAATATCACAGTTTATACAATAACTAATTATTTATCAATATCAAACAAATTTGACAAAAAATAAATTTATCAATTTTTAAATCTTAAGTTCAAATAATCAAATATTATGTCAATTTTAAAATAATACTTTAATTTTAAAAATAATATGTTATTTGAAACCCAATAACTTAATTATCCAATGACCTTTATTTTTAATCATTGTACAACAAAATTACATACTCAAATTTTTATCCGAATTTATCAACACCTAAATCTAATTAATTCAAAATAATTCTAATAAATTAAAATATACTCAATTAAATTTCAAATAACATAAATTGAGTTTCTTAACATATTTACTAATAATTAATTACACATAAATAAATGATTAAAAATAATATGTTATTTGAAATCCAATAACTTAATTATCCAATGACCTTTATTTTTAATCATTGTACAACAAAATTACATACTCAATTTTTTATTTGAATTTATCAACACCCAAATCTAATTAATTCAAAATAATTCTAATAAATTAAAATATACTCAATTAAATTTCAAATAACATAAATTGAGTTTCTTAACATATTTACTAATAATTAATTACATATACACAAATGGATAAAATTTTAAACACCTAAAAATAGCATAATCAAAAGCAATATAGAAAATCCACACAAATCAAATATAAAATATGAATTTGAAGAAAGAAATATACCTAATTGGGCTTTTCGTTCGAGTAAAGAAAGAGTGAGACACACAAGTGGAGCACATTTAAGAGAGAGAGAGAGAGAGAGAGAGAGAGAACAATAGTCTGTTTTAGGAGAGAAGATGATTGGAGTGGCTGGAGAAATATGAAAAGTGGAGGAGTGGTATTTATGAGGTATTTTGAAGGGTATTGTATGTAACGAAAAGCCTAGAAGGTAGCTACGAGTGAGAGAAGGAGAGAGAGAAAGAAGAAGAAAATGAGAGAAGAAAGGAAATTTGTCAATTTAAAGATTGAATTTTAGCAACGAACGTGACTTCGTCGCTAATCCATTGTTAATTAGTGATGGATACTAATTAATTTTCAATTTCAAACGACCATTTTTTAACAAAAAATAATGATTGGCTTACATAATCTGTCACTATTATTGGTAAATTTAGCTATAGACACGTGTCCATTGCTGATTTATGACAACATCAAGGGATTTACGATGGAATATTCCCTCACTAATCGAACTCGAATGAATAAACAAAAATAACGATAGGTTGGTTTGTCCATCGAGTAAATGTCTTTGCAATTCCATCGCTAATCGATCCATCGAAATAATCAAGGATATTTAACGACGGATCATATATATCTTTGAATGTCCATCACAAATCGATCGGTAGTCCGTCACTAAATTCTAAATTTGAAAATTATTCGCTAATCTATCACTATTTAGCTATGCATTGTAATCCATTACTAAATTGCTATTTCTTGTAGTGACGTAGTTATTAACCGGATAACGATTCCTCGC